AATAGTCTTGATGTCTGGTGAAGTGTTCTCTAGAGTGGCACATTCCTGGTATCTTTAGTGTAGGAAGTAAAATCGTTACTATGTTTGTCAGACTTAACAGGCAGAATTCATGTTGTCTCCTTCGATTTTTGACTGGAAAAAGCTGAACAAAGTAAAATGATTCGCTAGGAATCAAACAAAAAGCCATTGCTGATTCTCCACGCCCTTTCTTGGCTTGGTATTGGTTGAACCCTTTTCAGTTGGACAGCACCCAATAGGCTGCCCCCAGCAGTTAGAGACAATTTGAGGATTCCAGAACAAGGACTAAGTCCTAAGACGTTTGCTGCTGTGACTTTTTCTTCCCTCACCAGGGAGAGGACCGTCTCCTAAGGCTTCTTCATGTATGTACTATTCACTTGGCCATGGTAACGCAAGCCTTTGTTTCATTAATTCAGTAGCACAGGGTGATGTGGAATGAACAGCATGCATTTTCTGATAATCACAGGCTGTGTAGGCACTGAGCATGAGTGAGTGTGTTTATTCACCTTGTATAGAGCTGTGTTTTCCTGTGGTTGTGATGCCGTTAAGGACCATTACCAAAGGGTCCCCATCCAGGGTTGCTGCTCAGCGTGTATAGAGCGCCAGTACTGCAAGGTAGATGCTGTGCTAGAGATCTGCTTTGTAGTATGCTCACCCCACCCACCTACTCAGCAACTCTGCACTGTATTCTTGAAATGTTTGAGAGAGCAGGCGTTCTATCATACATCTTTATGATAACACAAGCAGTGCAAAATGGTTCAGAGTTGTGGACTCTTTTGCCGGAGAATGAGGGTGGTGTGTTCCCACTCCTCATGTGGATGCTAAAGAGAAGGGGACATGGCTGTGTTGTCTGTTTAATAAACGTGTAGCATCCTGTTTTCACTTGCACTGATGACTGATATGGATTTGTTTGTGATACTGTGTGATCCTGGGAGCAGAAGTCATTGTTTAAACAACACTGTGCTAACAAAGGGACACTGTTCATGTGGCTTCCACTTAGTCTGTGTACATTTCTCATTTAGATTCAAATTGTCCAACAGGGGAATGTGACATGTTTAAGGATTGGGTTACACAGGTTTTGTTGAGTCAGTGAAAGAGATGTTTCTTCCCCTCCTTTCCTCTGTGGACATGTTTAAAGTGCATCTGAAAAGATATAATATTTTTCATAGAACATGTTGGCACATTAGAGGAAGATGGGGGTCAGTTTATTAACTTTGAAGATGCTTTTGAGTGCTTGGCATTGTACACTTTATTTACAGCCGAGACACTTGTCTGTAAAACTTCTTTGACAACAAAAATATTCCGAAAGGAATCTGCTTATAAAAACTACCTGGATGGTTACTTATTGTGCACAGAAAGAGCCACCCCGGCGTCTGGATGCGAACTCCAGTTTCTCGTGGCTGAAAACTGACAAGAATGGTTGTATTTTAATCCACTAAAGAAAGTGAAGACAGCGTTGATACGGGAGAGGAGTTACGTTCTCCTAGTGATGAGTAGGGTTACCATTCTGGGCTCAGGAAAGCGCAAGGAGAAAGAGAAGAAGAGGGAGGAGGATGAGATCACACTGAGGATGCGGGAAAGAGAATCAGGTGAGGAGAGGTTGATGTGTCATCTGTATCTGGTGGAGAGTTAAATCACAGTCTCCCCTCTACTGGAATCACCCCTTGTGTCAATCTTCCCACAACAAATATCAGGTCCCCATGGAGTTGAATGAGCTTAAAGTTTTATGTGGGAGCCTTGAGTCTGGGGTTTCATTCCTATGTCTGTCTGTGTATAACTGCCAAGACAGCCGCTATACTTTTCATCCATATCCTATGAATTTTCTTTCCCATTTCCACAATAAGGACGTTGTACCTCAGCCTATAGCCCAGTATTTATTTATTTATTTATTTATTATTTATATTTATCTACTGGAAATTGTATCTTTCCCAGGAGAAGCATAGGTTCCCAGGGATATGGGTCTAAGCAGCTTCCAGCGGTGACTGAGTCATCTCAAAAACCTTCACTTCTCTATAGAACAGCAAGGTTTTTCTTGCTCTGTTTTTCTGTCTTGGTGCTTCATGCAGTGAGGGCTACACAGTAGGTGTTCTGTACTTATTTGTTGCATTGCAAAGTAGTAAAGAGAACTATAGTCGTATATAAATGCTCGGTGACAACTGGGATTTGGAGTTTTGGAAAATGTTTGAGATGTTTTATAAACTTAGATCCATTCTGTTAAATGGGTGTTGTTCACAGGATTTTCAGAAATTAGTGCTCTGGATAGTGCTGAGGAATCATACAAATATGCTGAAAAAGATCTTCTAGAATGAATGTGAAATTAAAATGTTTTGGTGGTGATGAAAAATATCCTACTTTCAAGACACGAAATAGATTGACAGACTAGTAATGCACACATGTCACCTCTCTGTAGTGCCCATAATACTCATGCTTACATGTACCTGTACAGAGGGACATGTTCACCCATACATAATGTAGGCCATAAATAAACATGTGTAGATCTCTGTTTAGGTGTCTGGTGTTTTTCCTAAACCCCAAGTTTTTAAAGCTGGAAGTGTTGGATTTGTCCCCAATTGTAGGCGCACTTGTTGTTTTTATTTAGGTTGCTTTCTTAATTAAAATTCTCTGCCTCCCAGGTTTCTGTGAATCAACGGTGCCCTGGAAGTTATTTCTCTTCTTGAGACTCCATGAAGTCTTGGAATGCATAGACATCAAGAAGGAAGCCTGGTCAAACAGCCTTCGTGGGCTCAGTGAGGCTGAGGTTTAGAATAAACACAACGGATGCCTTCATGTTCTTAAGGCAACAACCTTCAAGTGAGTTCAAAGGGTATCACTTGGGTCTCATTTGCTTTGCTAAATAATTGAAAGGGTTTATTTTAACCACATTGTCATTAGCTTAAGGTAAGAGGCTAACAAGCCATTAACCAATAAGAGAAACATACACACATAATGATACCTCCTCTCATAGGATGAGCAAGCCATGGGGTGCAAAGCAGGAAGCAGCATTCCTACATGGTCTCTGTATCTTTTCCTGCATCCAGGTTGCTGCCATGAGCTCCTGCCCTGACTTCCATCAGGGATGAAATGTGGTGTAGAACTGTGAGCTAAAATAAAACCTTTTCCCTTTAATTTGCTCTTGGTTCTGGTATTTTATCCTAGCATAGAAACCCCGAGTGAGACACCCCAGCCCTCTGTGGCCCTTCTGCAGCCAGGGTCTCGGTTGATGTCATGGCTCCTGACACCATCAAAGGCCATGCTGATACCAGGGGTCTGAGCCACCACCTGGGGCCATGTTGCTGTCTGAGAGCCACTCTGTTGTGGTGGTCATGCTGTTCAGAGTTCCCTGTGCTGCCACCTGGGGTCATGGTGACACCTGAGTCTGGGCTGTTACCAGGAACCATGTGTGGGTATGTAGCTCTACCATAGCTAGGGTCTGTGATGTCCATGGCCTGTGGTGCAACCAAAGGCCACATGGATGCCTGCAGTCTGGTTATTCACTTGACATTATGTTTGTTTCTGAGGGCCTTGTGGCCACTAGGACCTTAGTGATGTCCAGGCCTGAATGGCTGCTGAGAGCATGTCTGGGTCTGTGTTGCTGCTGCAGCTGGGGTCTGTGATGATATCCATGGCCTTCATTACCTCAGGGGTTAATAGGAACCACTCTTGTTGAAATACAAGGGCCCTGCTGAGCCCATGTGCCCCTCACTGTCCCTGAGACAGCTGGCTATGACCCTCTCTGGACTGCAGCAGGAGAGCTGGTCCCATACCCCCAAAAGAGAGCTGCCCTCCCACACTTGGGAGAGATGTCCCCACCCCTCACCATGGGCATTGGAGAGCTGGCTCTGCCCTTCACCTGGGGGCAGTGGTCTCAATGGCCAGTACCAACCAGCTCAGCTACCTCCCAGACCCACACTCGGGGTCTTGGGCTGGCCTTATCCTAACATCTACCCTTCTATGACCTGTTGGAGTGCATGGAGCCACTGGTCCTAAACACCAGGTTCCCCATGAGTCAGGCGACAGCAGGGTATTGGAGATAAGTTTCAGTGAGAGTCCCATGATAGTGGTGTTCCAGAGACCTTGAACAAGGTCAATGTCTCATTAAAATTAATGAACATTGTCCTGAATGGCAGTGAAGCCTCCTGCCTCATCTCTTTCACCTCTTCAGATGGTGGTGAGAACAGGGGAGAGGTGTCAGGCTGGTCAACCCTGCAACTACCCAGGTCCATAGCAAGGGTTACGTGCTGGTCCACCCCACCTGTGATCTGCTAGAGCATGGCGGAGGTGGGATGATGTGGTGTATCAGTAATACAGATCCAGGGCTGCAGGGTCTCTAGGACACAGGGCAGACACCAGATGTCCAGGAAGAGTCTCAGAGAGGGGGCCCATCATCTGTCATTGGTGTAGCGGAGACCAGAGGCCTCAAGCCAGACCAGTGATAACATATATGGATAAAGGGGTTTACTGCCTGACTCACTGTGTCTTACTGCCCCTTCCATGACGAGGTTTGCCCATTCTTATCCCACCCCCATCTTTTTCTCTTATATTTTATTGTGGAATGGGGAGGAGATGGATGGGATCAGGAGACATGACGTGAAAGACCCAAAGAATAAATAAAAATGAAATAAAACAAAAACCTAAAACATTGAGCGTTTTGTGGGTGGAACTGATTGGATAAAGGAGTATCGTGCCACGCCACAGCTCCTGATGCCACTAGGAAGAATGAAGAGGTGCTGGAGAGATGGAGGAGCGAGCTGTTTTAAAAATTAACTTTTTGGGGGCAAGCTGCAGGGTTGAGGCAGATACCGAGTGACTGGAAGGTGAGTGGGATTGGGGCACATGATGTGAAATTCCCACAAAACAATAAAGAATTATGTTTAAAAATATGTTAAAAAGATATACCCCAGTCCTGAGAGGATTTTTTTAAAAATGACTTGTTACTATTCAGTAAATAACTTAATTAACAACTATCCGTTTTCTTGCAAAGGCAGCAGTAAGACATTTAAAGCATAGACGTCTGGAAGCAACCAGAAGTACAGTACACCATGGCAGAACCTGAGAAAAGGTTGGCAACTCGTGGGGTGAGATGCTTTTCCAAGATCAAGGTATGGATTGTTTGCATGTGTATGAATACACACACACACACACACACACACACACACACACACACACACACACACACACACAGTCAGCAAGCCTTGCCTCCTGGGTGAATTCCAGGCAGGCGAGAGTCCCTGTTACTAAAAAGAACTGTACAAAGCTTGAGGAATTACACCTGGGGTTGTCTTCTGTCTCCCATGTACATATAGACACATGAACTCATTCTGCACGAACATGCACACACTTTCACAAAGAGAAAGGATGGGAGAAAAAGGAGACCTCCCTCGGGAGGAATGAGGGGACCTCTCTGAGAGCATTTGCTCCAAACTGTAGAGTGCTGAGGCCAATAGTCAGCAGGACTGGCTTTCTAATCACACATCGTATGTAGCAGTAGATCTGAACCAGCACGGACCCTGGTTCCTTTCACTTTCTGCACAGAACCGAATCGTTCGGAGAAAGGGCAGTGTATTCAAAACTCATTTAGCTTTCTTCTTCAAAACATAAATCAATAACCCCCTGATCCCCCCAAAGCCTGATTTTCTTAATTTGGTAGAATTTACTATTAAATATAGGGCATTATCAAATATCAATTATCAAATATCAAATATCAATTACATCCTTAAAAGATTTATAGTGGAAAGAGGGAACATCTCTGTCAATATCATTTAGAGTTAGAAGACAAACTTCTAGAGCCGGAATTGCACTATCTTATAGTACAGAGTACTATTGAGCTATACTGAACGTGTTGTTCATATTTCCCTGTTCTTTTTTTGCATATATATATATATATGTTCTGATGTATCCAAAATAATTGGTATTTGTGGCAATAAATTTACAAGCAGTAAATACTAACCTAACACAAGATGATTTGCCAGTTATTTCAGATGAGACAGCACAGCAGTTCCAGAAGTTGGGATGATGACATTTGGCATCAGCCAGCCGCTGGAAGAAAAGTTAAGGGAAACAGGAAGCTCAGTTACTATAGCACTCAAAGTAATGAGGAGTCTTACTGTACATAGCCACATGATAACCCGAAGGACCCCACAATGTTCTGCATTTCCAGAGTTACAACATTATGATAGAGGAGATATTACACTTTAAATTTGATTCCACTTTCAAGGGATGTTTATGTTGGATACAATCCTCTACCTCATGGTAGAGGGTGTTTTTTAAGGAGTCTCTTTTCTGTACCACCAGCCAGATCCCAAATAATGTTACAGAAACTTCTTACTAATTGTGAAAGCTTGGCCTATAGCTTAGGCTTGTTCCTAACTAGCTCTTACACCGCAATTTAAAAATTGCTATTAATCTACATGCTGTCACATGGTGTTACCTCTCTTCCATCTTGTACCTCCTAGTTCCTGAGTCTCCTAGCATCTCCTGAGTGCCCATATTCTTCTCTTTCTTTCTCCCCCCCCCCAGAAATTTCCCCTGTACATCCTGCCTAGATAATGGCTATTGAGCCTTTTATTACACCAATCACATCAATAGACCTTCAAACAGTATGCAAATATCCCATAAGCCTGTGGTCAGTGGATGCCAGATATGTGAGTGAAAAACTAATTTTCTTAATGTTTTCCTTCCTAGATGTTTCTGGTGGCATTAACATGGGCATTTGTATCCAAATCACTATCAGGAACTTACATGAATTCCATGCTCACACAAATAGAGAGACAATTTGATATTCCCACATCTATAGTTGGATTTATCAATGGGAGCTTTGAGATTGGTGAGTTATTTTCGCATTTACTTATGGTTATATATTGACATTCTCTCCTTATTTCCTGCGTTAGTCTACCTAATTTGACTGAGTTACATGCTCTCTGATGCGACTGAATAAGCTGGTTTGTGTGTGAAGAAACAACTACTTAAATATGACATTTGTCACACCCAATTTTTGCCACATACCCTGACATGGTCCCCCCCTTTTTTCTGACAAGTGACAGAAGATTTAGAGTATTAATATCTAATTCCATCATTTGATAACACAGGGAGACACTAAGGCCTTTTCCATGGCATCTTAGAAGGCTGCTTTGGGAGCCTGGAGAAATGGTGTCCTGAAGGAGAGCTAATGTTTCTCTTGCCCTACTGGTCTGAAGTTGACAGCTCTCCACTCCTAGTCACTAGAAAGATGAGGATGCTTTCCTGTATTTGACTAGTGCCCACACAATTCCTAAGACTGAATGAGCTTTAGCTCCCGACTGCGTGATGAACTGCGATAGGAGAATACAAAGTGTGGAGGAGGGAAAGATGCTCTCAGTAAACACAGTGACCTGGAAGTCTTGGTGCCTCTCATCTCTAGTTTAATCAGAGTTTTTACTCCCTTCAAGGTGAAATAGCCCTTAATATATTCATTGAAAACAGCAAAGGGAACCAGACTGTGAGGTGGCTAACGCACACTGAGGATGCTCCATCCTGTCTCTCAGGATCAAACTCTTTAGTGTTTACTCTGCCCACTGTGTCCTAGGCCTTCATAGAGCAGCCGGGGTGAATGCCTTACATAGACCTTACACAGATTCTAGTGTGTTAGAGGCAGCAAGTGCAGTCCATTGGTTATACAAAGTCTAATGTAACACATTGTGCTGGGGAAGACAATCTCCTGAAAGAGTAATGTTTGCCAGTGGAGAAATAGACAGGTAAATGTTAAGGAGACATTTGTACAGAGGGCGAAGCATCAAACAGTTTATGCTGGGATGAAGTCAGCCTAATGTTATGGGAAGGTGGAAGAATGCTTTTTCATTTTTCATTTTTCAAATGACAGAGATTTCAGACAAGATCCAATGCATTTGGCAGTGTGGGGGATACAGGCATAGACTGCAAACATTCGCAGAGAGTTCAAACAGTGGGTATGGTATCCTGGGATATTACTTTCTGCATGATGATCTCAGCGCAGTGAGGATATAGGGGTGGCCTACACTCTCATTATAGCAACATCTCTTCTGCATAGACAGCAGACTAGAGAGAAATGGAATTGGAAGAAAAACAAAGTCTTCAAATCTCAAGTATTGAGATCACTTAGCTATTTGCTAAGTCATCAAAGAAGGGTGTTTGAGTTTTCTGACCTTTCCTTTATGGGTAATATGAGCAGGGTAAATATCCTTCATCAAACTAAAAATATGTGGTTTGAGGAAAGCTTACTTTTCCTCTTTGTGTGTGTATGTGTGTGTGTGCATAATACTCATTGAGCCTAGGGCCTCACACAATTAGACAAACATTCTACCATTCTATTCCCAGCCCCTTTATTTACTTTTTATTTTGAAGGAGTTCTCAGTAAGATGCCCAGGCTGGTCTTGAACTCACTGTGTAGCCCAGGCAGACTTGATCTTGCAGTCTTGTCTTATCCCCATGTGACTGGGGGTGGCAGGTGTGACACCAGCCACGCTTGTTCCTTCATCTCTGAAGCATGTTTATCTAAGGCTCCCCTGTCAGGCTGGGGCTTCCCACCGAGTTTCTTTAAACACAAGCTTTCTCCTAAGCCACAGACATGAATGCTTGGTTTGACTCCCACAATCTAGACCTAAGACATGGTTGGAGGGTTAGGACTCTTAAATTCTCTCTGCTTAACAAACAGTATCACCTGGTCTAAGGAAAGATGTGACAGCAGAAGCAGACATCCAGCTTGGCCATGTTGAATAAATAAGGGGTTTTTGAATAGTCAGTTAAAAGACATGAACCCATTTGACTCTGTATAGAGAAGGTGAGAGAGGAGATGTCAGATATGACTTGTAGGCCATCATCTGCTTTTGTATCCATTCTGAAGGGCTGGATGATCCTGAATAGAGCACTAAATATTCTCCAGAATGTCCAGAATGTCCAGAATGGAGGAGAACATTCCCTCACACACACACACACACACACATACACACAAACCTCCTAACCACCCATCCCTGTTTTCTTAAGGTGATTGTTAAACAATGAACACAATGCTGGAGAGGCTGTTGGCTATGATGTGATAACACTTTACTGAAATAAGCATTCTCATTTCTCCCTCCCAGGAAACCTTTTATTGATTATATTTGTGAGTTATTTTGGAACAAAACTGCACAGGCCTATCATGATTGGTGTTGGATGTGTGGTTATGGGCCTAGGGTGTTTCTTAATATCACTACCTCATTTCCTGATGGGCCGGTGAGTATTTTAGTCTTTGATGATATTCTAGGTTCAACTTTTCCCTACAGGAAATGAAGCTCAGAATTTCCTCTCTAGGAGGAGCGATGTTCCCCAAAAGTACAGAATGCTAATATGGAAATTAGAAGATATGGTTTCCACTTTGCCTGTATGATTTGTGAATCTTATGGTCTTGGGACTGTTTAAGTCCCCATCTAGTACATTATGAATTGGGAATTTAAGACACTGCTTCCATGAAGTTGAGATACTGTCAGATTCTCTGAATCTGCCAGCGCTGTTCTGTTAAGACAGAGCTAGCCAATAAGAAACCCTAGTCATCAGCCAACAGTTTATAACTAATATACTCTTGGTGTGTTCATTTGGGGCTGATGCAGCCGTGGGACTAGGTTGGTGGGAAGGAGTGCTCATAACAAAATGGTGCCCACTGTGGTTAAGAGGGTCCATAATCATGCTGAGTCCTTCATCAGCGCTATTGCTATTTAGACACTCCAATTACAAGGGGTCTACAGTGTGACATAATCATGGGTCACCAAGAGATAGACTAATGTCAAGACTGACTTTATTTTCATGTTTACCAATGTATTATAACACAGCAAACTGTAAAATTGAAAGTTTGTTGAGTTAACTATTACCCCCTTCCTTGCTTTCTGGGGACAATTTTCAATTCTTCTGCCTGCCTGTGTGTCTTGTTGGTTCTTAACACCTGAATATTAAATGATATACAAAATAAGGTATTCTTTCATAGAATGCAATTATATCTAGATTTACTACCTAGCTCATGTTTCCCCCATTTGATTGATATTCTTTCTGTCTCTCTCACCTTACAAGTCCCTCATTGGCTGGCAGTATGAACACCCCTCAACACAGGTCAGGGACTTCATGTTCATCCTGGCCATGCCTCTTGCTCTTGTCTGGTCTACTCCACCTGCCTCTGAACTGCTACCTCATGGCCAGCTCAAGGCCATTTCCTTGTAATTCTCCACCATTCTTTTCCTTATAAATTTGTTTAACTTCCTCCTCTCATCTTCCCTTTCGCCAGCCGCTCCTCCACACTTTTTTCCTTATGTCTTTCTTCTATCTTTTCTTTTGTTTTTAATATTAAAAAAAATCAATTTGATTTGTGTCAGTGTTTTACCTGCATGTACATATGTGTACCGTGTGTGTGTGTGTGTGTGTGTGTGTGTGTGTTATCCACAGATAATAAGGTGTGCTGGATCCCCTGGAACTGGAGTTAGAGATGGTTGCCAGCTACCATGCTGGTGCTGGAAATATGAACCCAGGTCCTCTGCAAGGGTACGAAGTGCTGGTAGCCAGCGAGCCATATCACCAGATCCCTTTTCTTTTCTTTTTTGAGACAAGGTCTTGACATGTAGCCTAGGCTTACATGGAGTTTACTTTGTAGCTCAGGCTGTCCTCAAATTCTTGCTGATCTTCCTACTTCAACACTTGGAAAGCTGCCGGCACTGCAAGGGTGAGCCACCACAACTACGTTCTTGCTCTTCATTTCACTCCTCAATGGAGGCACATTCTACCCTCTGCTTCCCTCTTTAATCTCCCTCACCTCTTTCTGGAGAGAAAAAGTATTCCCCACAGCCTTTGAATTTGAAGACATTGCTTCCAAATTCATGTATTCTAACTCCTGTGACTGGTTTCTCTTTTAGCTCTACAGGTTGACACTGGTGACCACCTTTTTTTTTTTTTTTTTTTTTTTTTTTTTAATATTATTTTGATGTGTATTAATTTTCCTCTCTTTTTTAAAATTTAAATTAGAAACAGTCTTGTTTTACATGTCAATCCCAGTTCCCTGTCCTCTCCCCCCCCCCATCCCATTCCCTTTTTGCTCCCCAGGGAGGGTGAGGCCTCCCATGGGAGATCAGGGCCTACTGTTTTAAGTCCTTTGCCTCCTTGATCATGTGCCTTTGCTCAGGAGATGTTGTTACCTTTATTTTTTTTGTGCTCTCTTCTCCTTGATAAAGCTTCCTTTCTCTCCTCTTCTGCAGCTGTTATTTGAGCACTGGTACCCTGGATTTCATTCATATCTTGCCATCTTTCTAACTTCATGGGTTGACTCTCCTATGTACTTCCTGGGAGAGATAGCATTGTTATCCAGCTCTTGAATGGGCATGTCACTTATTTTATAATATTTCTAAAGTTTTATTGTCAAGAACACCACTTCACCTTGAATATCTCCTTTGAGGGGACATCTTTTTATTTTCTTAATAATTCAGTGTCACTTTCCATGTGACTTTCTTCATCTCTCTCCATTGCTTCTGGCTTCTAGCTTGTGTTTGTCTTTGACTTGTGGTAATAGAGTGTCCCTACAGATTGCCCTAGGTTATTTGTTCATATTTAAGAGAGAATTACAATGGAAAACTAACTGGAAATTCTGTATACAGATTAGAACAGTTTTTGTCTTTTTCAGTAGGATGAGTCAACAGGTGATTGAGTTGGCCTGGGTGCTGTTCGAGATGAACTCTGCTTTTGAGCCATCTCAGAAATGTGTGTAACTTGTGATCCTAGGCAAGAATTCTCTGCACTTGGCTACCAGCCAGAAAGAAACAGAAACATCATCTTTTATTTTGTGAAGTTCTGAATACAATCATCCTTCTTCTTGACTTCTCTGTCCTCATTGTACCAGTTTGGGTTCTCTCTTACCTGTGAGCATTTCCACTTGGAGAGATTGAGGATGAGTTTGAGCTTCTAGATATTTCTTATGTGCACTTTAACCCTCACTTTAGACTTTGCTTATTATGTTCAACTAGGACCTGAACTGGAAATCTTCTCATACAGCTTTCAATGGAGACCCAGAACATATTCCACTGCTCCCAGAAGCACGATGGTTTTGTTTCCCTTGTCTTCTGATTCACTGGCCATTCGCTTACCCACATCCCAATCTCATGATTTGATTGAGCTTAAGTTGATCACACTTTCAATCTCTCATTTATGGTTTTTTTATTTTTAGCTATTTTGTTTTTACATGTTGGGGTGGTGAAGTGTATGTGCTTTCATGTGAAGCCAGGCAACAACACTCAGGAGTCAATTCCTTCTGCTTACCCTGTGGGACCTGGTGTGCAATTTAGGTTATCAGACCTGAATTAAAAAAAATAATCTGTACTGGGTGCATCTGGTACCTCACAAGGGCTTTACTTTTATTTGAAGCAGAGTCTCATGGTAAGGGTGGCTTTAAACTCACTCGGCTGTTGAGCATAATCATGAACTTCTGACCTCCTGCTTCTACCTCCTGTGTGTTGGTACTATAGGCATGGTCCGCTATCTCTGGTTTTATTTTGAGCTCAAGATCAAAGCCAGGATTTGTGCATCCAAGTGCCAATGTAACAACTGAACAACATCCCCATATCTAGGTTTCTTTATCTTTGAGGAAGAACTTTCTTCTTTTTCTATTTTGAAATGATTTTCTGCCATTTATTGTAAATTGGGAAATGCATGGTCCTCGAGTGGACAACTGTAGATAGTAAACTAAATGAAAAAAAACTTTATCTTCTTAGTTGTTCTTGAAGGTAACTGAAAATTTGTGGGTGGAATTTAAAAATTATTTTTTACTTTCTATTCTATTCAAATCAATGTCAAGAAATATTTAACTGTTTTTATGTTTCTTACCTTCTGCTAATGGTGATTATTCTCTGAAACTGACCTGTCCTCATGGGATCATGAGTGAAAAGTTGCAGGATCTTGTCTGCATTTCACGGCAACATCAGTGGGGACAGCCAGGCTGTGGTTCTAGGGGGAAGGGACTCTGACTTCTGTGCTAAATTGTACACTGTAGGATGTTGGAAGTGTAGCTCCACACATAATTCAGCAGCCTTGGTTTCCTCTGGCTGTCTGTCTTCTAAAAAACACTTAGACATAATAGATAACTAACTAACTAAATAAATGAAATCCATAATACCTACAATGAATAGATAGATACTTAGCTGGACACTTTCTCTTTTACTATTGCATTCTGTCATTTTCTTTTTAGGACAAGCTGGTCCTTGGTGATTTTGTCAAGTTAAATGACCAGAGTTTGTTAGCACTTTTGGTCCCGTGACACTGCATTGTCAGGTGATGGATTCTGTCATCTCTTGTTATGACGTGTGAAGCTTTTCTCCTCCTGGAGTTAATGAACACTTGGGGAATGAATGAGTTCTCAGAACGGAAGGGTGGGGCCGCAGCCGGGAGACTGCAGAGCAGGTGTCTTGATTTGTTGTTTTGTGTTTGTGTAAAACTTTTACCTTTTCAGTCCTACTTTAATGCATCTCTTTCTGTTTGTTACTTTTGTTCTTTATCTTGCCCCAATTATTTTTAGTAAATAGTTACTTAGAAATCATAGACAGAGCTGGAGAGATGACTCAGTGGTTAAGAACACGAGTTGCTCTTCCTGAGATCCTGAGTTCAATCCTCAGAAACCATGGGGTAGCTCACAACCTTCTGTGATGGGATCCGATGCCCTCCTCTGTCATGCAGGTGTAGATGCAGGACACTCATAATCAAAATATAACTAAATAATGTTGAAAAATGAAATCACAGAGAGTTGACATTAGAGAATCCGAAATCTATGTCACCTACATGTAGAAACTTGAGATCTAACTGTAAAGAAGGTGCATGTTTTGGTGATTATCAAATTATTTTGATGATTACTTAATTTATTTGGGTGGTTGTTTTCGATATTTTCTGCTTTTCTTTTGAGGCGATCTCTCCTGAAGCCCAGGATAGTCTCAAGGTTGCTGAATAGATAAGGGTGGCCCTGAGCTTCTGATTCTCCTCTCAAGTGCTAGGGTGGGCAGGCATGGCTCACCACAACCAGTTTATGCAGTTCTAGAGTTCAAACCTAGAATTACATGTCCAGCCTCTAATAATACAGAAATACAGATCTTCCTTCCTCCCTCTCTCCCTCCCTCTCTTCCTCCCTCTCTTCCTCCCTTTCTCCCTCTCTTTCTCCCTCCCTTCCTTCTTTCCTTCCTTCCTTCCTCCCTTCCCTTCCTTCCCTCATGTGTGCATGTGTATTTATGTATGCATACGTGTTTCATGTGTTGTGCATGTGTTTATATGTTTCTGTGTGCATGGTGTGTGTGTGTGTGTGTGTGTGTGTGTGTGTGTGTGTGTGCGTGTGTACATGGAGAATTCTGGGAACTACTCTATGGGGTCATTCCTCTCCTTCTACCTTTATGTGATTTCAGTGATTGAACTAAGGTCATCAGGTTTGTGTAGAAAGTTTCTTACCTGCTTGCCGCGCACTAAGACTTACTATGATTAGAATGACTCCTGTGGAATCATGACTGAACAGGCTCTGGATGCTGTTTTCAGGGAAGCGGAGTCAGTAATCTGCAGATGCTCTCATTGCTCTCAGTTACTCACAGTCAATGTTTCCTGTGTCCACACAGATATGAATATGAAACAACAATTTCACCTGCAAGCAACTTGTCCTCAAACAGCTTCTTGTGTTCAGGAAACAGAACCGAGACCTTAATGCCAACACCTGACCCAAAAGGTTGACTAATGGTTTTTATTGCTTTCTGCTCATAGAGTGGGCCAGAGAATACTCTTTTGTGAAGGGCTTTAAAGACGATCCTGGGTTTCTTAGGCATCTAAGACAAATGAACAAACTTTATGTACCTCTTCAGGGAAGGGGATTGTCTAATAACACAGAATACTCTGCCTCCTGAGTTTGAGTATACTTATTAAGAATCCTTTGTTTCTTAAAGTAGGTGTTTTAAAAACAAGCCAAAGATATCCACTCCAGCACCATAGTAGAGTTATTCCCACAAAGGGAAATGACTTAGAGGTATGGATTTAGACACATGGTGAGATCTATGTGATTGTTCTAGTTTGGTCTTCTTTTGCACGGACTAAAACCAACTCAGGTAGGAAAGAGTTTATGTAATTTACAAATTGTAGCTCACCATGAGGGAAGCTTAGCAAGAACATGGAGGCAGAGGCCAAAGCAGAGAGCACCAGTGAGTCTTGCATACTGTATTTATTGCTAAGTTACCTCTCGTACACACACCGGTCAACCTGTCCGGGTCTAGTACTGTCCACAGTCATCTATGCTATCTTTCATCAATTACCCAAGAGGAAAATTCCTCATAGACATTGCCACAGGCCAGTCTGATAAAGCAGTTCCCCAACTGAGATTCCTCCTCTGCAGGTATATTTAGATTTGTATCAAGTTGACAAAAACTAGCCATCACAGTGATCAGCCATCATAAACAGGAGATACAGCCAGAAAGGAGCTTTCGCAGATCTGTGCCGTGTACCTGGTGCACCATGGTAAGGCAGATCCCCATGTCACAGTGCAGAATTCCTTAATTGCCAGAAATTTGTCTTTCAGTATCCTTTTCCCTCTTTAACAGAGATATTACTTTGCAGTTCAACCAAACAGCGGTGTTCCCTTAGCTTTTATAAGTCCGGGCACGGTGGTCCTGGATTCTGCCCTTCATATGCTGTATTAGTAACTTTCTCCTCACTGAGGTCAAAATCCAGAAGAACAACTCAAGGGAAGGAATTTTTGTTTTCACTCCTCATGGTCACTTGGCTCTATGTTTACGGACATAGTATCACGGTGACATGAGTTTTGGGTGATGCTCTTCTTCAGTTCTTGGTGGGGAGGAAGAATGGGCAATAAGATGCAGGAAGTGCCGTGTGAAATAGCTTCTTTGGACAGGCCGCTCCCAGGACCAACTTCCTCCAATTAGACTGGCCTCCTACCTTTCAGTATTTCTCATCAGTGTCAGCATCTTCATCAACAAATTAGTCCACTGGTGATTATGTTAGAACCATGGCCCCTGTCTCCATATACGCCTCAGAGACACAACCAGGTGTTGTGTAAAAGCAGTTACTGTATGCATTATTTACTTTCCTTTGGCTTTGTAGAACACCATGACCAAGGGAACTTATACAAGAAAGTTTATTTGTGCTGATGGTGACAGAGCAGTGGTTCTCAACTTCCCTAATGCTGTGATTGTATAATATAGTTTCTTATGTTGCGGTGACCACAACCATAAATTATTTTCATTGTTACTTCATAACTGTAATTTTGCTACTGTTATAAATTGTAATGTATCACACACACACACACACACACACACACACACGCACACATGTTTTTATATGGTCTTAGGTGACTTCTGTAAAAGGGTCGCTAGACCCTCAAAGGAGTCATGACCCAGAGGTTGAGACCTGCTGTTCATGAGAATCAATCATGGTAGAGAGAATGGCAGCATGAGCAGGGAATTAGAAACTCACATCTCAGCTATAAGCATAAGGCAGAGAGTGCAAACTGGACGCAGGGTAAGGCTTTAAGCCCTTGAAGCCCATCTCCAGTAACATTCTTCCTGCACTTTCCAAAATAGCACCACCAACTGGAGACTAAATATTTAATGCTAGAGACCATTGAGGGTTATTTTGGTTCAGAGCACCATGCCGTTCTTACAGACGGCCTGATTAGTTCCCAGAACTGACATCAGGTTGCACATAATCCCCTGAGAGTCCAGTTCAGGGGAAATGAGTGCTCTCTTCTGGAAATCTTGGCCACCTGCACACACAATGTGTACATAATGCTCATAAAGGTACATACACACATTTAAAAAGTATTTTTACAGTCACATGTGCTAAAGGACCCAACATGTCTTCCGAACATTTAGTCTAGAACTGTCTCAGCAGGATCATCTCAGGCCAGACGATCTCCATCTTGCACTAGATTCATGCCACAGAATTTGCAGCAGTCTCCAAGGCTTGGGATGTCACTGCTCTCAGGGAGTCTGTGGAGACCAAAATATCTTGAGAGTCAAAGAGCAGCCATCTTGAAGCTCTGAGCCATACAAACCCTCTAAGCAAAGCAACCCGAAATGAGGACCTCAGTGGTAGCCTATTCTCACCCCTTGAGCTAACTTCTGAAAAGCTACTCATTGTACTTCTTGCACTGCAGTAGATAAATTAAATTCTCCCCCTGTGCACAGGCCCAGGAACGGCCTTGATGCTTCCAGCGTCTGATGTTTTCACTTCTGCCTTAGAAGAGGGTTGAGAGTCTCCCTGGGATCTGTAGACAGAAATCCTTGGAGAGGCTGCCTTAAATGCCCTTCCCCGATAATGAGATTGATGACTACCTTATATGCCATCCTAGAGTCCTCATCTAGTAGTTGATGGAAGCAGAAGCTGATACCCACAGCTAATCACTGAGCAGAATTGGAATCCAATTGCAGAGAGGGAGGAGGGATGAGCAAAGGGATCAAGACCAGGCTGGAGAAACCCACAGAAACAGCTGACCTGAATAAGGGGGAGCTCATGGACCCCAGTCTGATAGCTGGGAAACCAGAATAGGACTGACCCAGACTCCCTGAACGTGTGTCTTAGTTAGAAGGACTGAGCAGGCTATGGGACCTTTGACAGTGGAACCAGGATGCATCCCTGGTGCACAAACGGACTTTGGGAGCACATTCCTCATGGAGGGATACTCCCTTAGCCTAGAGTCAGGAGGGAGGGCCCAGGCCCTATCCCAAGTGACTTGACAGATTTTGATGATCCTTCATGGAAGGCCTCACCCTCTCTGGGGAGTGGATAGGGGATGGGATGGGGGAGGTCAGAGGAAGGCATGGGCAGGTGGGAGGAGGAGGGAACGGGGATCAATATGTAAAATAAGAAAAACATATTAAGTAATAAAAATTAAAAAAAAAATCACGGTGTTTATCAAAATAAGAACCTGAATTCTTAGAGATGGAAACTGATTTTCCTTTAACCAGGAATAAGAGTTAGATCTCATGTTCCAGTTGTGCTTAGGACATTTAATGGCATCCCTGATCAATCCACAGTTTAGAGTGCACTGTCCTTCATTTCTCTGAAAACAAACAAACAAACAAACAAAAACAAAAATATAAACAAACAAAAAACAATATCAAGCTTCCCTAGGGAGTGGAAGTTCATTTAGCTTAGGACAAATGTGGGTGGTGCATGCACACCTTCAAAGACTTCCCCCTTTGCCTTTCAAGTCCATCTGGCCTTAGTTTATCTTATTACACTGATTGCATGCTATTTGATCCATTGGAGTACTTGTTGATAGTAAAAGATGATTCTATACAAAAGTAGGGTTATTGTTCAGTGAAAATATTTAGTTCTTAAAAAGTAATTGAGGGTGTGTGCAGTTCAAACTTCCATCAGTCTTCTCAGGGTTGGGTCATACAACATGGATCGTCAGAGACATACACACGTGTGCTTCCTTTCCCTTTTTCCAAGTTGTGGAGAAACGAGGCGCTACACATTAACTTCCTGGGTCCGCTGGTTGGTGGAAAACTGAGTCCCTGGAGATGAGAAAAGCCCTACTTTTTACTGTTTGTCTATTTCTATGGTGTAAACTCTCACAACCAATGTGTTGTCACTGAATACTGAATTGGGAAGAGGCATCTATCCGTAGAGTCATCTCTCCTACCCAAGAGGGCATTGTTTCCAATATAGAACTTATATTCCACTGCTGGGCAATCTTTCAAAGCAAGCAGTAGGGGGTGACTGACAAATTCATAGACAGCATAGTAGGTAAGGCAAGTCACTGAATGACCGGTGTGGGCATGTGACCTGAGAAAGGCTTACAGAAACATTTGAATTAGTAACACTTGAATGCCAAAATACTCACGCAAGTTTCTTTTGTTTTAATGCAGAGTGTGTGAAAGAAATCAAATCATTAATGTGGATATACGTAGTAGTAGGAAATATTATACGTGGAATTGGCGAAACTCCCATCATGCCTTTGGGTATTTCCTACATAGAAGATTTTGCCAAATCTGAAAACTCCCCTTTGTACATTGGTAAGTGTCTTAGTTAGGGTTTCTATTTCTGTGATGAGATACCATGACCATGGCAACTCTTATAAAAGAAAAACATTTAATTGGAGTGGGTTACACTTCATAGGTTTAGTACATCATTACCATGGTGGGGGATATGGTGGTATGCAGGCAGACGTGATCCTGGAGAAGGAGCTGCTACATGTTGATATGCAGGAAACAAGAAGCAGACTGTCTCAGTTGGCATGGCTTGAACATGTATGAGACGTCAAAGCCCGCCTCCACGGTGACACACTTCCTCTAACAAGATCACGCCTTCTAACAATGTCAGCCACTCCCTTTGGGATCCAAAACAAACTGACACAGTAAATTTGAAAAGTCAACCTTTCTGGAAGGGTAGAAATCAACTATTGATTTGAACACTTTGTGGTTTCTAGGATAGTGAGCAGAGTTCATAAGATTGTCCAACGGGGGAATTAAAAGGTAGCCCCAGACAAAGTGCTTCAAGTTACTTCTCATGATTTGAGAACCCTACCTACACTCCTCTGATGCTGCCACGCCATCTTTAAACCAGTAGAACTTCACCAACATTTTCTGGAAAGTGTCCTGTAAATCCTATTTTTTTTAATGGTTTTCCTGCTTTTAGAGACTCATTCTTTCATTTTCAAGTTATTATGACTTCAATATTAGGCATTTTGTGTCTGTAGTATTATAAAATGTAAGATTTACATTTTATCTCTCTCTCTCTCTCTCTCTCTCTCTCTCTCTCTGTGTGTGTGTGTTTGTGTGTGTGTGAGTGTATAAACTTGCATGGAACTGTGGTGGTCAGACGACAGCTTTTGGTAGTTGGCCTGGGGATTGAACCGGGCTCTTCGGGGCCTGGTTCCATGGAGAAGTGCCTTTATCTGCTGAGCTGTCTGCCTGGTTGTGCAGTGTTTTGCTTGTGTTGCATTCTAATAAATATTCTTGCAGTTTAAGCTTTACCAAAGATGGTCTTAATCACATCTCCTCTACCGTGTTCACCAAGCAACTTCTCATTTTCCATCTGCTCCCCTATGCTACTTGGGGCTCTGCATCCTGCTTCTCTATGAAGTTAATGAAGTTAATGACAGTTTCCTTCCATATAACCCCTCAGCCTAGACATTGTTTTGACAAATATCCAAGTTCATTCTTTTGGTTGTATTACTTGATATTATCAATAAAACACATATGTATCTTCCATGTAATAACCTCTAATATATTGCGCAGCTGCAGGATCTCCCAGGCTCTGAACAATACTAGGATGCCAGAGTTGGATAATGGTTCTTTGTCTGGATTTGGACTCCTTGAAAGACCTTCAGACTCCCTGCTGCCCTTGGAGGCCGTGTATATGTCTTTAGTTCATCTTGTCATCTGGAGTCATGTGGATGTGTGTGGCTTGTGCTGCTGCCTGTGGCCATGTTGATGTCTGTGGTCCCTGCTGCCACCAATGGTTATATTGATTTCTGTAGTGACATTTTGTTTGTAATCTAACAAATAAAGCTTGCCTGAAGTTCAGAGTGTAGGGCTAAGGATCTTGTTAGCCACACACCCAGTTAATAGCTAAGCCACTAGTTAGCCATATACCTAAACTACTAGTTAACCACACACCTAGTTAATAGCTAAGCTACTAGTTAGCCACACACCTAAGGCACTGGTTATCTACACACCTAAACCACCACTAGTTAGCCATAGAGAACAGGCAGTGGTGGCCACAACTTTAATCCTGGCACTTGGAAGACAGAGGCAGATGGATCTCTGTGAGTTCAAAGCTACTCTGGGCTACATGAGAGTGAATTGGTCTAAAAAAGAAACAGAGTTTACACCTTTGATCCCAGCACTAGAGAGGGATAGAAGGCAGGAACTCCGTGTAGTCTCAGGGCAGTGTGAGGTTTGTGGTGGAGAGCCTTGCAGTCTGCAGTCACTCTGAGGACAGGATGGCTCCTTTTTGGTCTTAGCCTTGATAAAGGTAAGAACTCTCTGGTGGCTTAGCTGCTTTGCTCTTCTGATCTTCAGGAAAGCTTTGTCTGTTAGATTACAAACAATACATCACTACAGGTTTCTGTGTTTTTGCTGCAGCCAGGGCTCCCATGGATGTCTGCCCTGTTTTCCCACTAAAGGCCATGTGGATGCCTATGGTCTGTGCTGCCAGCTGAAGTCACTTTGATGCCCTTGGGCCTTGCTCCTTCAGGAGGCTGCACGATGGTATCTGTGGTTCACGCTGCTGCCCAAGGCCACGTGCATCTCCATTGTCTGTGTACCTTCTATCAGCCATGTTGATGTCCCTGATCTGTGTTACCACTGAAGGCTATGTGGATGTCCATGGTTTCTGCTGTCACCCGAAGTCATGTTAGTGTCCTTGACCCATGTTGCCTCCTGGAGGTCATGTTGCTGTCTGTGGCCTGTGTTGCCAACTCAGAGCCATGATGGTGTCTGTGTTTCATGCTGCATCTGAGGGCTTTGTTGTTGTCTGTGGCCTGTGCTGCCCCCAGAAACTACATGGAAGTCCATGACCCATGCTGCCACAGAGAGTGAAGGACAAGAAATGTTTTGCAGTGGTGTTGATGGCTGAAGTCTCACAGTTGAGAATGAGAGACAGAGTGCTTCTGTGACACCCTCTTCTCCCCACAGCCCCCCCCCAAGAAAAGAAACAGTCGAGAGAGGAAGCCATTCAATAGAACTCTTAAAATTTGTGATAGGGATCCTGAAGTCTAGCTCTTCACAGTTGATGGTTCCTGGCAGGAATAGGGGTGGGTAATGACCCAGTTTTCCTTGAAAGGCTGGCCGCAGGGAGATTGACCATGGTTCAGAGAGAACATGACTAACACAAATTAGACTTGGTATCTTCTCCTCCTCCTCCTCTTTCTCCTTCTCCTTCTTCTTCTCTTTAGGGGAGGTCACAAGGGAGGAGGGGTGGACTTGCGAAGTCTGTGAAGTAAATGTGTGCATGTGTGAAACTCATAAGAATCAATGGAAATATCAAAAGTGAGGATAGTGACTTATGATGGAGGTCACTGGAGGTTCCAAGAGAGTGTGTTAGAATTAGAAAGGGACTGAGCAGAGTGAGAGACTAGGAGCAGACAGCACAGGACAGGAAAGAACCCAGTGGAGGTTGGAGATTGTGCAGGAATCATTGGATAGAGGACATCAAAGATCAGGGAGTGTTTGAGAGAACAAAGAAGACAGGAATGCTTGGTATTGAGAACTCAGGCTCATAGAGGAGGACCAACCCACAGAACCACAGAGAAAGAGGAAAAGACAAGGTGTAAAGTGAAGAGAAGCCAGGAAGTTGAAGTTTTGTGAGCAGGGATGGCTCAGCAGAGATTCTGAACTCAGGTAAGTTGGGAGATTGCTGGTGGTTTCAAGGAAGCCAGGTGAGGATGGAAGGGACCAAGGAAATGAAAGTAAAAATAAGAAAGAAGACCAGAGCGGATGGGGAGGGGGGTAGATAGGAGTCAAGGGGGAGGGAACAGGAGAAAAGGATGGAGGGGAAACTGTGGTCAGGATGAAAATAAATGAATAATAATAATAATAATAATAAAAGTAAAAAAGGAGACCAGGGTAGCATCCAAGAGAAGTGCTGTTATGAGGACACATTCTTTCTTTGGGACGAAGTTTCAAGAGAAGAGCTTTAACGAAGGCACAATACAAGAAATTCGTCACAGGTCATACTGCTTTTGAAACTATGCATGTTTCATTGAGAAAATTTAACCTTGGCTAGAATGGGGTTCACTTGGTTAAGAACTGCATCACAACAGAGAATCCCCAGTAGCAGGAGCTTGAAGCAGCTGGTTACACCCACCAGAGTAGAGAGAGTGACAGCATGCATGCTGTGTCTTTGCTTGCACGATTGTGCTCAGCTCTCCCCATGCTGCCTAGGGAATGTTGATGCCCACAGTGGGCTGGGTCTTCTCACATCAATTAACTTAATTAAGACAATCTCCTGCTGACATGGCCACAGCTAAACCCACTTCATTAAATCTCTCTTCCAAGGTAGCTCTAGGCTGTGCCCAATTGACAAAGCTAAGCATCACAGAGTCCCTTGGAAAACTTGGCTCTGGAAGCAACAAAAGGAGCTTTTACTTTCATGGGTTTGATCGGACTGCCCATGATAGTACAGCTTTGACCTTTAACGCAGCATAAAAGAAAATTTGGAATGTGACGCTGAGTGATGAAGCTTTTGTGTCAGTCAGATTTCCATCACTTTAGTAAATACCGGAGATGATGGTTGATAACGAGAAAGGTTCATTTGCTTCAGAGGTTTTGGTCTATGTCACTGGACTGTCATTTTTGGAGGTCTGTCAAGAGGCAGTTCATTATGGAGAAAGTAAGGATGAGGTAAAATCATTCATCTTGTGACTGGGAAGCAAAGCAGAACGAGGAAGGGGCCGTGGTTCTACTCGTGATGACCTGGGGACTCAACACCATGCCCTGCATTGGAATGGCTCCCTCAGATCCTGGCAGTGTCACCTGGGAAACAAGTCTACAACACATGAGCTTCTGGGAGTCACTCTATATTGAAACAGTGGAAGGGTCTTTCTCAGTATTTATAGAAACCAAAGTACATGCATGTAACACATATGTACATGTAACATATATATGTACACATAGCATACATACCAAGCTTAAATTTTTATGTATTGAATATAAAAATATCTGAGGTAGTGGGGTGTAGCTCCATTGTAAAACACTTGCCTAGACTATTGGATTTGATGCCCAGCTCTGCAAAGGAAGGAAAAGAAATCTAACATTAAAAACAATCCAATCTCAAGGCTTTTTGATGTGAGCAAATTTTTGTGTAACTTCCTGTCTTTGTTTACTTCCAGGGATTTTGGAAACAGGAATGATCATCGGCCCTTTGATTGGACTTTTGTTGGGATCCTTCTGTGCAAACATTTATGTAGACACTGGGTCTGTGAATACAGGTAACACAATACATTTTATTTATACGGTCCATTTCCTACAGGGTGAGAGAAGGCTCCAGATTGCTATGCCATTGCCTCCTTTGACCCTCAGTTAGGCATATTATCACCATTTACAGCCTGCAGATCTAAGAGAAGCAGAAGCAAGGATGAAATGTCAGGTTCTGATAAAAAATCCACCACTCTCCCAGCACATTTCAGCCTCACCTTTGGTCTCAAAAGATTTACTCACATAGGTTTTTCTCAGTGAGGCAGTCACTGTGGATAATGAAAGAAACATTTCTGTTATGTGATGAGCACCAATTTATAAAGTCACAAGACAGACAGAAACAGTCGTTACTGCTGGAAAAATATATCACCTATACTGGTAGATACAATCACACAAACCATAAAAATCGGATGCCATGAGATGCTTTATTTTCTCTATGCAAATGTGTATGTCTGTGTGTGGGTGCCTGCTGAGGTCAGAAGGGGGTTTCAGATGTTCTAAAATCAGAGTGGCAGGCAGGAGTGAGCTTCCTTGTGTGTGCTAGGAACAGAAGTCAGCATGGCTGCCAGAGCAGCAGTCACTCTCAGCCCTGAACTGTCTCTCCTGTCCCCTTCATCCCCCACTGTGATGCTGTGAGATGGGAATACCTCAGGTTAAAGCTGGCTCCTTAAACGTGTCTCCCATACTTTTCTGTCTTTTTAAAATGACGTTGTAACTGTTATGATACATAATAGTCTAGGACTGCCTTCTTAATTTTAACTTTACTTAATATATGTCAACCTCAGACACTTTTTCTAAAGATGCGAATTCAACCTGTGGGGTGGCAGATACCTATAATCCCAGCATTTAGGAAGCAGAGTTCAGAGTACAAGGCCCAAACAAGAACAAAAAGAAACATGAATAGTTCACATAGAATATACAAATTTTGTATATGCTTCTTAATAACTTTCTACAGTTTACACAGGAAATGGTGGAAACTAATAAATTGTCTGTATTTCTTCACAGATGACCTGACCATTACTCCCACGGATACGCGCTGGGTCGGTGCTTGGTGGGTCGGCTTTTTGATCTGCGCAGGAGTGAATATCCTCACCAGCACCCCCTTTTTCTTTATCCCCAAAACACTGCCAAAGGAAGGACTGGAGGATAACGTGGATGTGACTAAACGTGACAAAGAAGAGAAACACCAAGGAAGAGCCACGGAGGAGAAGCGTGGACTCACTAAAGGCAAACAGGAAAACTTTAATCCCTGTGTTTGGTTTAGATGGGTCTGCAGTTAGTGTAGCATTTGTCATGCTGTGCTGAGTTCAGAGAGTTTGTCACTAGTTGTCTCTACTCACATGGGGAGGGGGTATTTCTTCACCTGTCAATTGAGGGTGACAGTACATTATGTTCTTGGGTTTCTGTGCTTTTCTGCCTGGACTGCACTGGGGAGCACGTCACTGATGATGTCTCTATTTCCTCCATCACTCATAACCTCCAACACCATTGTGCACCGACTAATCACACATCTACCTTAAACTCTGCTGACCATAGCTGGGGAGCCAGTCACCGGCACCGGTTCAGAGAGAGGCTTGACCATTGTTAGGATCAGGGTCACTTAACAATTCTCCTGCAGGCTAACCCTGACAGCCTTTGTGTGCCTGTGTGGTCTGCCAGATCAACGTAAGTTTATTTTTTTAACTTAAGTTTTTACTCTTAATACATCTTGACCACAGTTTTCCCTCCCTCCCAGTGTTCCATCCACCTCCCCTCACTCAGAACTTCTTCTCTGTGTTCCTCCAGGAAAACAAACAAACAAACAAAAACAGGGTTCCCGGAGATATCTACTGAACATGGCATAACATGATACAGCGAAACTGGGCCCAAACCCACACTCAAGGCCACCTGAGACAACCCAGTAGGAGAACAGGTCCCGAGAGCAGGCAAAAGTGTCAGAGACACCGTCACTTGCACTGTTAGGCATCACACAAAACACCAAGCTAACAAACACAACACATATGCAGATGACCTAGTGTAGACCTGTGAATACTCCATGATTGCCTTTTCGGTCGCTGGGAGTCCCTAGGAACCCTACTTAGTTGCAGTCAGTGGGCCATGCTCTCTTGGTGTCCTTGAACCCCCAGGCTCCTACATTTCTTTCTACCCGTTTTTTTGTGTGCTTCCCCAAGCTCCAAGGGGAGGGACCCAAGGGAGTCCTCCAATTTGGGCTCTCTACCTGATGTTTGGCTGTGGGTCTTTGTATTTGCTCCGGTCATCTGCTAGTGGGAAGCCTCTTTGATGGTGATTCAGCTAGGCACTGATCTATTGGTATGTAAGAATATCCTAAGTAATCCTTTTATTGATTTCCTTCTATCGTAGATTTTTGGACTATCCAGCTTCCTGTTCTTGGTCATCCAGGCTGTATTGGACATGGGCTCTTTCTAGTGATGTGGGTCTCATATTAAGCTAACCATTGGGTGGCGACTCCCACAGGTTCTGCTCCTTCAATATCTTACCCCATCTTGCAGGTGGAATAGATTATAGGTTGAAGCTTTCTATTATTTCTGTTTTTGTTGAAATCCATCTTTAATCCATGGTTGTCTGTTAGGAAGCAGAAGTTATTCCAATTTTCTTGTATCTGTTGAGACTTGCTTTGTGGCTAAATATTTGGTCAACTTTAGGGGAAATTCTATGAACTGATGAGAAGGCTTATTATTTGTGTTTTGGTGAAATGTTATGTAGGCATCTGTGTAGACAAAAGTTTCTGCCCTGCCTCTTCCCACAGCCGTTTAGTTCCAATAAACACACAGAGGCTTATATTATTTACAAAATGTTTGGCCAATGGCTCAGACTTCTTACTGTCCAACTAGCTCTTAATTGTTAACTTATTTCTATTAATCTGTGTATCTCCGTGTGATCTTGGTTTACTGGTAATTCCTGGGCTATTTCTTCCTTGGCAGCAAGATGGCATCTCCCTGACTCTGCCTGCTACCTTTCTCTTTCCCTATTTGGATTTCCCTCCTTGCTAATTCCTGCCTATCCATTGGCCAAAATAGCTTTATTTATCAACCAATAAGAGAAGCATATATTCACAGCATAGAGAAGGACCCTCCTGATCATATCTGTTAAGTCTATTTGGTACATAACTGTCTGTTAGCTCCAGTAAGTCTCTGTGTAGTTTTTGTCTGAATGACCTCTCTGTTGGTTACAATAGGACAATGAAGTCTTCAAATATCAATGTGTAAGGTTAAATATGTGACTTTTAGCTTTATTAGTATTCCTTTTATATTATAGTATTAGTATTATAGTATAGTATTAGTATTATATTATAGTATTAGTATTCCTTTTATAAGAATAGTTGCCATTGCATTTGGGGGCTTAGATATTAAGGACCGAAACATCATCTTGGTGGATTTTTCCTTTGAGGAGTACAAGGTGTCCTTCCACATTTATCTTGATTAGTTTTGCTTTGAAGTCTATTTTGCTAGATATTAGAATGGCGACACCATATTGTTTGTTAGGTCCATTTGCTTGGAAAAAATCTTTCCCAGCCCTTTTCTCAGGCAGTGTCTATCTTTGACATTGAATTGTGTTTCTTGTATGCAGCAGAAGGATGGATCCTGTTTTTGTATCAGTTCTGTCATTTGGTGTCTTCTTATTGGGGGATTAAGTACATTGTTATTGAGTAATATCAAAGACCAGTTATTAGTAGGTTGCTGTTGATGGTAGTGGTGGTGGTGATGGTGTGTGTGTGTGTGTGTGTGTGGTTGTGTGTTTGTGTTTCCCTTCTTTTGGTTTTGCTTGTATGAGGTTATTTATTTTATTTATTTCCTGTGCTTTCTTGGGTATAGTTAATCTTCTCGGGTTGGAGTTTTTCTTCCAGTTCTTTCTGTTGGGCTGAATTTGTGGATAAAGATTGCTTAAATCTGGCTCCATTTTGTTTTCTCCTTCTACAATGGTTCAAAGTGTTGCTGAGTAAATTAGTCTTGGCTGGAATATGTTGTCTCTGAGTCTGCAATACATTTCTCCAACCTGTCAGGCCTTTAGAGTCTCCTCCACAGAGAAGTCAGATGCAATTTAAATAGGTCTGCCTCCATATGCTACTTTACTTGCTCTTTTTGCCTTGCGGCTTTTAATATTATTTCTTTGTTCTGTATGCGTAGTGTTTTGATCATTTTATATGAGGGACTTTCTTTTCTGGTTTAATCTATTTGGTGTTCTGTGAACTTCCTGTAGGCATTGCCTTCTTTAAGTTGGGCAAATTTTCTCTTATGATTTTGTTGAAACTCTTTTCTGGGTCTTTAAACTGGGATTCTTCTCCTTCTTTTATCCTATTCTTTTATATAACAAAGTCCAATTAAATAAAAACAAACATTTATACACAATATTTGGGAATTTGGGCGTAGTTCTTTCCAAACTACTTCCTGCTGATAAGGGGCGCTGTCTTGGGGGATTCGAAGAAGATTCAGATATCCTAGCTGTAGTCTGTAGGGCTGTTTTGTCCAGCTGTTTTGAATGTAGGATCAGCTTGTACTCTGTTTCAGGTGGTCTGGCGTGATCAAACCACATTAGTCTGGAAGGAATCCACATCTTTTCATTTTCTGTGGAAACAAAAATAGAAATCCTTTTCCCCAGTAACTTGTTCTTCAACTTAAATTTTGGAGTCAAAACGTTTTTTTTTTTTTTTTAAATTTATTATTTTACATGTCGATCCCAGTTCCCTCTCCCTCCCTCCCTCCCTCCCTCCCCTCCAGTCCTCCCTGCCGTCTCACAAGCACTCTAAACACCCTCCCCTCCCAACCCCCTACCACAATACCATATGTAGGGGAATGCCATCCAGTTGGGGTCATGTGGATCTGACAGGTCCTATGAAGTAGGGACTAGGGCTTCTCTCCTATCTCTAGAATAAGGCAGTTATCCCTCCATGGGGGATATGTTTGCAAAGTCCTTTTGTGCATCAGGGATACATCCTGGCTCCACTCCACTGTCTGAGTTCTCTTAGACTGCTCAGACCTTCTGGCTGAGACCCATATTCAGGGGGGTCCGAGTCAGTCCCCTGCTGGCTTCCCAGCTATCAGTCTAGTGGTAGCCATTTCAGAGATTTTTGTATTCTTAGACTCATGGTCATGTTAATGATTCTCCTGTAATAGTTAATACTGCTTGCTATGTGCAATTGTGTGGCCTGTCAGGTCAACCTGAGTTTCAAAACTAGGAACGGACCTAGTATAAGACAGACAGAAAAATCAATGTCAATTGTGGATACTCATTTTAGGAGAGCAGAGATGTAAGCAAACAAGGGTGAGTTCAAAACTCCTGGGAGTTCCTACTGCAACCCTCTCATTCATAAAGATGGATTTTGCCACAAGAGTCCATTTTTTTTTTTAATTATGCTGCCCTTCTAAACTTATTTATACTTTATGCTCTATTAAGGAGTGTATAAAATTAGAAAAAATCAAGATAGTAAACATGAAGACAGGAAAAGGAAATAGACTATTAAGTGTGAAGTTCATTATCTTTCTTCCGATCAAATCCATTTCCTAGAGACAGGCTACAAACTTGTCTCTGCTCTTTTAAACAGGGAGACGTTCTGGTTAAGTCTGTTGGAAGGTGGTTGGTATACACCAAATGAGTCACCAATCCTTAAAGTGAGATGCTCATGTTGAGATATTTAAAAATATCACTAGGTGCTTCTAATGAATGTTGTGTTATAGAAGGCTTTAGGAATATTGGGGTTGGCTGAGCTGCAGAGTGATTCCTGTAGTCTTCATCAATTTTTAGTTATCTGCACAAAGGACTGACCATAGCATCAGTGTTTGATTAATACAGGATATTAATAGAAGGAAAACAAAGAAAAGGAAATGAAAGTGTATGGCCATAGATGTGGTTCCATCTCCTTATAGTTTTGCTCAATGAGATAATTGGGTTCTGACTCTTAAATAACCAGTTGTATCACCAACTTTCAGAAGCAATTTAAATAATATGGAACTGTAGCCCCAGGGGGTAAATATTTGTCAAATATGCTTGTGTCACAGCAATGAATTTGTGAGATTTTAGGAGAACAGTGGGACACAAAATTCAAGGAAAGTTAGCTTAATGGTTTTGGCATTCTCTTGTTTCAGATTTCTTGCCATTCATGAAGAGCCTCTCCTGCAACCCAATTTACATGCTTTTCATCCTTATAAGTGTGCTCCAGTTCAATGCATTTATCAATTCATTTACCTTCATGCCTAAGTATCTGGAACAGCAATATGGAAAATCAACCGCAGAGATAGTCTTTCTCATAGGTATGAGGTCTCATTATTTCTTTAGTAAACCTTCTCCATCCCACAGGGACATGATAAGCACTATCCCCATCCCCAAGGGCACGGTAAACAGCAAGACAATGTGACCCGGAGACTAGGACAAAATCGAAATGTTAGGATATTCTTGTAAATTTCTTCTTTCCAGTCTCCAGGGGAATCAAGAATGGAATGGAAAAGGAAGAGGTCAGAAATATCCTCTTGATTCTCTCTCCAATCAGGTGGAAATTGTTATCAGTATGGCATCTTGGGGGATACCCATATTAGTCAATTTTTGAGAGGCAATATGTTTATTCAAAGAGGAATTGACTTAACTCATGGGAACTCTGTATTTTACTTCTAGATTTTATTTCAGGGCTTCCGTTCTTGCCTTGCAAAATACTCCTAATTCAGTTACTTGGTCCCCTGTGTGTCCGAGGATTTTGGGCAGCCAGTCTCTGCTTTCCTTGGTAGTACACTAAATCCGTGGATACTACCCAATTTTGGATTTTTCTGGGTTCTTTTTAGTCCTGATAATTGATGATCATAGGCTTATTATATTCACATTGCTTCGAGTTTTGTAGAAGCCCCTACCAAATCCCAGTCCTTACCCTCAGATGTAGAAAATTAAATGTAATGGTATAGTACTGCAAAGAATGGGCTAAATTCTCTCAAATGTTATATGAATGCTACCTGGCTGGAATTTTCTCTTCTATTTTCTTCTTTGCTTTCATTTTTGCCTGGGGAAGGAACACCAGCCAGGAAGACTGATGGACAACATCAACAGTGCGTATAATGCTTTGCACTTTTCAAGTATGGACTTAACTGTGACCTTCTAAATCATCTTGAGCTGAGTCAAATTCCCAACAAACAGACTGGATAGAAATAACATGAAATATCTGTTATCAAATACATCTCTCTCTCTCTCTCTCTCTCTCTCTCTCTCTGTGATACTTATACATGCAGCCTGCTGCAAATGATTCAATAAGTAGTAATAGTATTTTTTAAAGTGACATTATGGGACGTTTGAAAATCTTTTTTTTTAAAATTTAATGTGTGAGCCTGTCTGTATAATGATAACTCTATATTAGAGCTAAATAGTTTCTTAAGTAAGATGTATTAGACAAATTTACTTTTTTGCTGTTTCTTAATGGTATTTTACTCATGTTTATAGGTCTTTATAATTTACCCCCAATATGTGTTGGATATATAATTGGTGGCTTGATTATGAAGAAGTTCAAGATTACTGTCAAGAAAGCTGCATACATAGCATTCTGCCTATCCCTGATTGAGTATCTTCTATCTTTCTTCAACTTCATGTGGACCTGTGACAATTTCCCAGTTGCTGGTTTAACTACCTCTTATGAAGGGTATGCTGTTTCCTAATGAAGACCATAGTATCTTTGCAATGGCTAATCCATTTTCTTCAATGATCGTGTATGACAAGATTATTTTATTAAAACTTAGTTGCAGTGATGCATGGCTTTCTTGTATTTTTCTTCTACTCATCATCCTTGTATCAGGCCATATAAGTTGTAATCTTATTAAAAAGATCTTTGGACTACCTGTGAGTAAGTTTATGATTCAATATATATATATATATATATATATATATATATATATATATATATATATTCACCATGATATCATAATCTACTTTAAAATGTAATAAAGGAAAATAACCAAGAGATTTGTAGCCTAAATTATCCATATATTTTATACTCCCACAACAGATACCTTTAAAATTTGACTATACAGGCCTGTAAGCCTCCATAGGTTGTTATGAATAGCTAATAAAAAACATCAACAATAGGTTTCTACAATGGGCTCAAAGTTATTACAATTGTGTCTAATACATTGTAAGTCAATTAAGAATATATTTATATGTAGGTCACTGGTACAGTTATATCTTGTACACTCTGTAGTCAGATTTTGTGTTATAAAATCATAATTATATATATAAGTACACACACAAACATACATACATACATACATACATACATACATACACACATATATATATATATATATATATATAATCTGCCTTGTTTATCTTTTAAGACAGGACTGATTCTTTTCACTTGGTACATGTAGACATTGAAACTCAGGGGGCATTTGTGAATTTATAGACAATGACTTCAACCGCACCAGAGTAGAAATGTCCTGACTCCATGTCCAGCCACGCTCACCTCACAAGGGGGTTGAGTGACAGGGTTTGAATTCAGCCTCTAGACTCTTACAGTGTCCTCCTTCAATCCCGATGTAAGTGCTGGCCACAATGTGTTTCAGAAGAGGGTGTCAGGTTACTCAAGCCACTCTGTTTTGGTGGCTAAAGATGGCATTTGTTTTATGAATGGAAATTACAGATTTTGGTGAAGCCAGCCCTCTTTCATTATTTCCCGTCATGCTCATCAATGAGAGATTACATCCCCACTTTTACCTGTGACAGCACAGTGCCTTCCTATGGAGTGGACACGTCATATTCATTTCTGCAATAATTAAACAGCAGTATGTGACCACTGGAGCAGATGACTTGTGTGCCAAAACGTAGGACAGAGACCACACGTTGATATTAGGATAATTGATTTTTGTTTCTATTCTGGGGGGGGGGAGATGAAAGGTTTCTCTGTCTTGGTCCCTGTCTCTTTCTTTCTCTCTCTGTGTGTATACTGAGATGGGGATAAGAGAAGAAAATAAAGTGTCTGGGTGGCTTTTTGGTATCCCTAACATTATTTAAAATCATTCCAGAATTCAACAGTCATTATATGTGGAGAATAAGGTCCTTGATGACTGCAACACAAAGTGTGACTGCTTAACCAAAACATGGGATCCAGTGTGTGGAGACAATGGCCTAGCATACATGTCAGCCTGCCTTGCCGGCTGTGAGAAGTCTGTCGGAACAGGAATCAACATGGTAAACACCCTTTTTGTGTTTTGGGCTGTGTAGTATATTAACGTGATATCACGTGGTATCTACTCCTGCATCTGCTAAAAAGCAAAAATTAGCTTGTGCTTAAAATAGATTAATATATTTTTATGAACAACTAAATCTCTTTTATATATTTATATTCGACTTTGTAATTTTTAGGTATTATATAAAACCTCGACAGAGTCTGAGAACTAGTTTGTAATTTCAAAGCAGTGGAGACCACTGTTCCAATGACTGGAGTTAGAATTCTCAGGATGAGCTGGAGAGCTAGCTCAGCTCTTATGAGCACTTCCTGGTTTTCCAGTGGACCTGTTCGGTTCCCAGCACCCACATCGGGCAGCTCACAACTGGCACTGACACTCTCGTCTGCCTTCCTCAGTCACCCTCATGCACGTGTTCGAGACCACACAGATATAGAAGCACACACATAAATAAACATTAACACCAGACCTTTAAAGCACTCTGGACAGAATCTGCCCCTTTTTGACACAGGGTCTCAAGAAGCCCAGGCTGATCTCAAACTAGCTCTGCAGTTGAGGTGGAGAGAAAACGTATCTTTTCCTATCACGAGCTCCTTTCGTTTATTTATCCATTTATTGTGGGTGTATGTGTGTGTGCACACAGGTGCATATGCATATGAGGCCAGAAGGCAACCTAGGCTGCTGACTCCCAGCTCCATCCTCTTGGTGCTTTTGAGGCAGGATCTCAGGGGCCTGTGATTTGCTGATTCTGTTAGGCTGCCTGACAAGTGAGCCCCAGGGGGTCACGTGTTCCCACCACAGAGCAGCAGTGTTGCAAGCACATCCTCTACACTCAACATCCATCTCATGTGTGCTGGGATCTGAACTCAGGTCCTCGTGTGTGAGCAGGACTTTCAGACTGTGCCATCTGCACAGCCCCACAGCATCATACTCTAACAGATGAAGATTTAATAATTTTTTCCCTTGATTAAACATGTTATAATACCTACAGAGGGACCAGGCATTGGTGGCTCACACCTTTAATCCCAGCACTCGGGAGGCAGATGCAGGCAGATCTCTGTGAGTCTGAGGCCAGCCTGGTCTACAGAGAGAGTTCCAGGATAGGCTTGAAAACAATAGAGAAACCATGTCTCAAAAAATCCCCCAAAATAATACTTACAGAGCTGATTGATAGTCAAAATGAAATATAAGTTTTGATTACTAATCAGACCCTTAAATAACAATTAAGAAAAGAATTGACTTTATTGTAGAAGTAAATTCTTTTCTTGGAGACACGATGTTATTAGTAAGCATCTAACTATTCTTTATGTATCCAAAACACGTTTTGTGTGCGTACTTAGTACTAGGCTAGCACAAAACAGAGTAGTGTTCATTTACTTTTCCAAAGGTTATGTGCAGACTACAATGTTGGCTTAGTGGGTAAAGGCATTTGCCACCAGGTTTTACCACCAGAACTACATCCCACATTGTAGACGGAGAGAAATTAGTTGCATAATTTATCCCCTAACTTCCATATGTAACTCATGGTACACACATGTTCACACATAGACATGCACATGCACACACATACATACTCACATGCATTGATACCCACAAAGAATATCAAGCAAACATACAAATAAATAATAAAGTAAAATAAAATGTGCATTCAGGATAATTAATTTTTGTTATTTTTTTTTGCAAATTACCCCATGCATTTAGAAAAGAAAAACATAACCAATTTTTGAGAAAATCTACCCCTTTATATTTTATAGCAGACTTCTGAAATATCAAAAAGAGATGGAAATAAAGGGGGAAGGGACGTCCATTTTACTTACTTTGTATTTTTTATTCAGTAGTGTTTGTGTTCAAACTAGGGGCCTCATTCAAAGTAGGCGCGTGCTCTTCCCATGAGCCACCCGTCCGTCTTTGGCCCTCCACTCTCCACTTTGATCTAGCTGGCCTTGCAGAGAGTACTGAAGGGTTATGCCCAATCTTTTTCTGCCTTAAACAGGACACTTTGCTTTTTGACAGGTGTTTCAAAATTGCAGCTGCATTCGGTCTTCAGGGAACTCGTCTGCAGTCCTTGGGCTGTGTAAGAAAGGCCCCGAGTGTACTGTCAATCTGCAGTACTATTTAATCATATCTCTGATTGGCTGTTTCATCTACTCTCTATCAGCCATCCCTGGGTATATGGTTCTTCTGAGGTAATAAGTAACTTGTTCTTTGGTCTTCTCTCTTTCCTTTTTTTAGTAGTGTGTGTGTGTGTGTGTGTGTGTGTGTGTGTGTGTGTGGTGTGGGCTCCTGGGTGCCACTAAGAGCATGGGGAGGTCAGAAGACATCGGGGAATCAGTTCTCTCCATTCATTATGTTTTTGAGGCAGGGTCTCTCTCTCTCTCTCTCTCTCTCTCTCTCTCTCTCTCTCTCTCTCTCTCTCTCTCTCTGTGTGTGTGTCTCCTGATGTTCTGGCTGTATATTATTTCATCGTACAAGGTTTTCAAGTTCCCAAGCAATTCTGTTTTCTCCCATTTCACTATGGGAATGATGGGATTACAAATGCATGCCACTGAATTGGACTTTTTAAAATTTATTTTTATGTATATCTCTAGGTTCTGGGTATTGAACTTAGGTCTTCTAGTTAGAGCCTCCCTTTTTTTATCTGTGCGATAAATTTATCTTGAATTTTTATATAGTAAGGATTAGTTATTTTTTATCAACATGACAAAATACCTGGTTAACAACTTAAGAGAAGAAGGATTTATTTGGTTTGTGGTTTCAAAGTTTTGGGTCAGTTATGCTGGGGATAGCCTGGTGTTCACCATGGTAATCAGGAAACTATGCACCTTGGTTAGCAGCCAGTGTCTAACCATTACATGGGTTCCACCCCACTTTAGATGTGTGGAGGACAGAGGACAGCTTTCAGAAGTCATAGTCTACTTCCTCTGTGTGCACCCAACAGTAGAGCTCTATTATCTTCGCTTCAGGATGAAAAACTTAACCATCAGGGTCATGAAATATAACAGTCATGGGAGGATGCTAGTACAGATATGGGTTTGCATGATGAACTTTTATATGTGTGCATGTATTTTTCAGGTGTATCAAGTCTGAAGAGAAGTCACTTGGAATTGGATTACATGCATTTTGCACAAGAATATTTGGTATGAACAATTTCCCTCCGTATCAGACCAATATAAATACTTAGTAAACTAATACATTTTCTCTTTTCAACCCAAAGCACAACTCTCACCTTAAAGGGAATAGGTGGTTTTATTCTGGAATCAAATGTGAGTCACCATAATGTGGGGACATAGATTCGGGTCATCTAAATATCTGGTTCCAACATGGTTCTAGTTTTATAGTTGGAGAACAAAGGAAACCATGAAAAAGGCACTTCTCAAATCTATCTAGGATGTTGTTGACAGGAAAGCATGGCATTCTCTTCTCTGGGTTCAGATGGAATCTGATGGCATTCTTAGTGTTTGGGTGAGTGGAGGCTAGCAACCTGTTAATTCAAACATCCCCAAAGGCTTCGTGTGATAGTCACATGATGTAAGGTCAGACACAGGGATGGGGCAAGGAATGGTAAATAAGAGAGGTGAAGATAATTTGTCTCTGGATCTTCTTCAATATCCCAACTGTTTATATCCAGGAAATTCTGATGAGCTTGCGGCATCTTTAACATAAATATGCTCATTACCCTCAACTATAGTTCACAGGCCCTTGTGTTTAAAAATGGCAACTTGTAGTTAGTCGGAGAGGTAAGTAAAAGAGCTCACCCGAACTTAATTACACCTTTCATCTTTTAGTAGATTCAAGCATAAAGTGAGAAGGAAAATGTTTCTGTTAGATGTGTAGAAAAACAGTGTGAGGCGTACATTTTCAGAGAATACCTGAAGCTCATGGTTATAAACTCAATGGACACTTTCTTAGCATCTATAAACATTACATTGACTTACAATTTCAAAAAATAAGTGTAGGGCCACTGATTCATAATTTTTTTTTTTTTTTAAGGGAGAAAGGGAAGTACTTCCAAATACAATTGCACACCTCTTTTTTTTTTCTCCCTGTTAATTGGTTTCTTCTCTTTCTCTCCTCATTGCAGCTGGCATTCCGGCACCTATTTACTTTGGTGCCTTGATAGACAGAACCTGTTTACACTGGGGAACTCTGAAATGTGGCAAGCCAGGGGCATGCAGGATATATGATATACATAACTTCAGGTGAAGATAATTTTTAAATGATTTATTTATTTTTACTTTTCGTGCATTGGTGTTTTGCATGCATGTGTGTCTGTGTGATGGTGTCAGATTTCCTGGAGATAGAATTTCGGGCAGTTTCTAAGCTGCCATGTGGGTTCTGGGAATTGAATCTGGGTCCACTGGAAGAACAGCCAGTGCTTTTAAATGCTGAGTCACCATTCCAGACAAAGGTAAAGATAATTTTTGAGACCTACTTTTGTAGTTCGTAAAATGCCCTCATTCATATCTAACATTTTCTCGAGTGATAAGATTGCATTTGGCTTCATTTTCAGAATGCACATGGGAGGTATAACTTCCCTATTTGTGTATTTTTTTTATTTCCCAATTATTTCTGAAGTGCTTGATACATATAAGCATGAGTGGCTTTCCTCATCCTCACCTAACTTTTCACAGTATGCCAGAAAGGAAGCATGGAGTCTGTGTAGATGCCCTGGAGCAATACGGGGAGAGCTGAATCTTGAGCTGAGCTAGCATGGCAGAACACTGGAGTTAAACAAGACAGCAAGATCCAGAGACTGGAGACAATGGTGCCATTGGTGGGGACAAACTCTCTCAGCTCCTCCCAGCCTGTACCTAAGGCAGAGAGGACTCCCTTTCTGTAGCAGTCAGCATGATGGTCCCAGGATATTCAAGCAGAACGGATCCTGGAATTCTAGCTCCTGGAAAGTTCAAAGCCCTGTGATGCTTGCATCCAGATACCAATAACCCCGAATTGGTGTACTGCCTTTGCAATTTAACCACACATTTTGGGTGCTGTGGCCCAGGGCTGTCTTAAGAAGGAACCTGCTATCTGTATTTGACTAACACTCTTATCTCCAGGAAGCCATAGATAACTCCATTACACTTAGTGGTTGGCTGCTCCATGAACACAGCATATGTCAGTAGAATGATTGTCTTACACACAAACTGAGAGTGCTTCAAAGGGAGAGGAGGTTGCCCCACATAGAAATAACTGAAGCCATTACCCTCAAGAACCAGTGTTATGAGTAGTTTCTCCACCAGCCTGGTCCCAGAGCTGTGCCAGCCACAAATAACACACAGAGACTCTGTATTAGATATAATTCTGTTGGCCAGTTAGTAGTTCCTTATCTGCTGGCTCTGTCTTAAATATTAACCCATTTCTATTAATCTAAGTACTTCCACGTGGTCTCATCTTACTGGAGAGAGGGGCTGGCATTCTGCTCTCTCCGTCTTCCATCTTGAATCTTTTCCCTACTACATCCTCTCTTCTCCTTGTATTGTGGTCCTGCCTATCTTGCCTTCCTATTGGCCAACAGTGATTTATTCATTAACCAATACAAGAAACATATTTACAGAATGACATCTCCCAGCAAACCAGCAAGCCAGGGATCCTTGGCCTTTGAGATCTGGGCACATCCAGTTGTCTTGCTTCCTTGCTGTTGCTTGAATAAAAGCAGCGTGGGCATGGTCCCACTGCTCCCAGCATTACACAGGCCCCTGTCACCAACAGTATAGTTTAAGGAGTGTGGGTTCAGTGCTGCCCCATACCCAGGGGTCAGACTTTCGCTATCACCTTGCTGGTCCTCTAGGACAGCAGGCCCAAGGAAGTCCACAGAGAAAGGTTGTTTGCTACAGACTGCACTGGGTTCCTTCTTGCTCCTAATGCAACTTCAGCCAGAGGGAATTTTGGGCTTCTCTGCTCTGTTTCTGGATGAGGAGGACGCTGGAAGATTCTAAAAGAGAAAAGTGCTGGCCATTGCCCTGTTCCCAAGCGTGTATGGTTGGGGGTGGCCACTGTCCCATTCTCAGACTGGCATGCCCATAGTAACAGTGTGGAAGGACAAAACTACTTCTGTCATTGTATCTAGGTGAAAACATTCTCATAGACACACCCAGAGATGTGTCTCTATAACGATCCTTATTCAGTCAAGTTGACAATATACACTAACCATCATCAAAATTAAATAAATGCATTTAAATTTGTATGTTGGAAATGTTTGAATCTTAACAAAAAGAATAGCTCATCAAAGTAGATTATATAAATTTGTCAGCATAATAAATCACCTGATTGTTTTTGAAGAATAAATAATCTGTGAGAATATACAAAATTGGCTTTCACTGAACATGTGAAGATTTAATACAGATTAATTGTTTTCAATAGGCGCTTTTACCTTGGATTGCCAGCAGCTCTAAGAGGATCAAGCTTCTTCCCAGCAGTCTTCATTCTAATACTTATAAGGAAGCGCCAACTCCCCGGGGAAACTGACTCTTCAGGACCTGAACTTCCAGAGATAAAGCTCACAGAGAAGGAAAGCAAGTGCATGGATATGCACAGAAGTCCTGAGGTTGAAAAGGATGGAGAACTGAAAACTAAGCTATAATGAGGTTTCTATGGGCCTGCACAAGACCATAGACAGCGTGTGCATTTGGCTTCATTTGAATAATATGAGGTATTATAGGAACTCCTTTCTTATCCTTAAGGACCTCAAAATTATTTTACACACTATAAAAATATTTACTGATAACATTTTCTGAAACATTGGGGTAGCACTTGAAATTTTCCTAGGGAAGACTCTGGTGGCGCCACACCGAACTTTAAATCTGTCTTTATTTGCAAACAGCCTTTTCTGTTTTGACTCAATCAAAACAAGTGTGAGTTTCTCACATATCTTCAAATAGCGTTTAAACTCCCCCATTCCTGAAACACTATTTAATTGAGTTTATGCTTCCTTGTTGGAGTTATTTAGAGCTGAAAATTTACATCTTGGTTTTGTTGCATTGAAATAATGTGTTTCAATTTATCCTACCTCTTTATCTATTTAGGAGTTGTCAACTATTATTTTTAAGGTCTAGACATGATGCTTCAAAATTAGACTTCTCATTAATGTGTCCTCTCTTGTTTTCAGTCCCTTCTTACATTACTTATATCACATACTTGATCATTTTGTTTAGAGCACTGAAAAATTTAATTAGGTTATTTAAAACCATGCAGCAAAGATGGTTGGAAGTTTTCCTAGGATTTCCAATCTGGTAAAGGAACTCATTCTTAAAAGCAAATATTTGAGGAATCCAGTCCTTTCCAAGGCCCTTTGTAGAGAGGAGGTTATGTATCATTGTTACAATGCTTGCCTAGTTTGTGGGAGGCCCTGGGTTCTACAACAAGGTGGACTACTGATAATAATATAAACTATAGCGTAAGAATAAAGGATAGCTGCAGATCAGGCGTTCTCAAAAGACTCCTTCCTCATATTCAGGCTGTTTCTTTACTCAGAGCACTTGGGTAATTAATTTCCAAAATCATTTTTAGAGTAAAACCATTAAAGAGGAGCCAGCTAGATGGCTCAGTGCAAGGTGACCTTTGCTACCAAGCCAGAAAAGGTGGTTTGATCCTTGTCCTTTGCTGTCTTCTATACTTCCCCACCTGCAAACAAGTGAAAAAACACGTAGAAAGCTTTAAAGAGTGACTATTGCTATAAAATTGGGATTCGTAAAATTTAAGGCATCCAAAAAACAAATTTGATTGAGAACCGTCCCTCCTGGGCTCAGGCATTTGGACATTGGGTTCCAATTGATAACTTTCCTTGGGGAGGATTAGGGAGAACATCCTTAATGGAGGAAGTGCATCACTGGGCTGGGCTTTGAGCCTTAAAAGCCTCACCCTACTTGTGATTCGCTCTCTGCTTTGTGCTTTGAGGATGTGAAATCTGCGCTCCTTGCTCCAGTCACCACACCTGATGCTTGTTGCCATATACCTCCTTGTCATGAGGGACTTCTATCCCTCTGGAATCATAAGCAAAAATAAACACTTTCTTGTACACATTGATTTGTGGTGTTTTTATCACAACACTGAAAAGTAACTGATACAGAGGTCATCTTATTTCATGACTGATGAAGAATGAAGAGATTGTAAAGAGTAAACGCTGGTCTGTTGTTTTAGAGCTGTGGCTCAAGTTAATAGCATGGTCAAAGCTATTTCTTTCGGTTCCTCGTTTTTCTTCCCTTGAAAGTCAATAATATGAAATGACACAAATCCCTAAAGATTGGAAGGATGATGGAAGAGCAGGTCATGGATGAAGGTCAATACATAGTAAAGTGAAAATATCTATCTTGAACAGAATGAAGGCAGGCAGAATTTTTAAAGCCCTGTGAGGGGACTGGGATGTTCATGGTGGCTAAGGTGACAGCTTCCTGTTACTTGAACTGTAGCCAATCCACATAAGGAAAGGCTTATTTTTCTCATGCTTCCAGAGGTCTCAGGCCATGATTAACTCATCCTTTCTGCTCTGGATCTGTGTCTATGCAGCACATTGGGAAAGAAACCTATAGAAAGGAATTTGCTGACCTTACTTAGGCTAGGATCTCTTTCAAGGGCTTACCAAAATGGACCCAACTTGCTTTTTTTTTCTAGGCCCCACCTCTTTTTCTGGGCCCCAACTCTTAATGCTTCAACCACTTTTCAACAGCATCTTGCTGAAGACTAGGATTTTAACACCTGGGGCCATTGGGATGGGGTGGGTTGGCCAAACCCAAACAATAGCAAAAAGAGGAAGTAGGAAACTTAACTGGAGGGCTTCCTGCAGTTTTAATTTGCTGAATCAGTGAGTGTGTCTTATAAAAGAAAAGTTTCAGGGGCACAGATGCCATGGCTCCACAGTCAAGAGCATGAGCTCTGCTCTTGCACAGGATCTGAGTTTGGTTCCCACCACCCACAACTACATGTGACCATAGCCTTGGGGGAGGGTCTGATGTCTCTCATATTCCAGGCCTCTGCGCTCACATACATATACCTAGCGCCTGGGACTCACTCCTTGTGAAGTAGGTAGTGTTTCACTCTAAAAGCACATGTTCTTCCTTGACACTTCTTCTCGGGGAAAGCAGTCCAGAAAACATAGGCATTGCAGTCCTTGGGGATTTCCCAGTGGTGCCCATGAGGCCTGGGCAGATGGTCTATTATTCTGATTTTTATTCTCATCAGGCTGTGGTCACGGCACAGCAGACAGACATGCACGAGAGGAATGAGGGAAGAGGCAGGGAAACCTGCAGGTGATTCAGTTTCCCATTTAGCATTGTTATGTTTCTAAACTTAATAGAATACATAATAGTTTGTCACTAGGAAAGCTGTAATCCCATTGCAATAGAATTTCAAGGAGTTCAAATGTCAACAGTAAAAACACAGAAGGCAATCTTTGTGTCTTGTATTCCATCATGTGAAATTGAACTTGATAAGTTAATGTCCTATGTATGTGTTTGTTAACATGTTTGAATTCACTACCAGAGGGACCAAGGAGATGTTTGCAATCTCACAGGTGGTCATCTCTGGGCCATTGTGAGAGTAAGTGGAAAGAACAAAGGCCTGGGCATTTGTCTTTCATGTTAATTTCTTTTGTGTGTCTTGATTTTATCTCACACAAATAAAATAAAGAGCATTTTTCTTCAAAATCCATGCTTAGATAAAATTAGTAATGCTCTTTATAGAAGAGGAAGGAACTGAGTCCATCATTTATTGGTATTTTATATCTAAATAATTGCAAAAGTTGGAGGGTGTCTGTTTCATTTGTGAAAACATAATGTGTTGATTTCTAGAAAAGTTAATTGGGTGCAAACCAGCATCTGGAGAAGCACTTTCTGTTTTCATGATGCATGTTTTTAAGACCCAGGAGAAAGCAATCATGGTGTTGTATACATACAATAACTTTGACAAATGAAACAGTTGGTCTGTGGCTAGGTCTTCTTATTGGCTCATCCTGTCTTAATTATTAACCCATTACTCTTAAACTATGTATTTCTACATGGTCTAGGCTTACTGGAGAACTCATATGTGTCCTCTCTTCCCAGTTCACATTGTATCTTCTGTCTGCCTACATTTCCCAGTGTTCTTCTTGTCTCCTAGTCCCGCCTATCTTCCTACCTCATTGGCTATGGTGTTTTTTATTTATTCATCAACCAATAAGATAAATATACATATTCCCCTATCAGACTGGGGTCTAGTGAGCCACATCAGACCATATTGTTCTCAAAGGACCATGCCACTGCTGGGACCATACTGATCTGGCTGGCCATGAAGACATATTGTCATGGGCTGCAGCCTAGACTAATGTCTAGGTCTGTGGCCCTGCAGTGGCAGAAGTCTGGGTTGGTGTCATGTCTCCTGTTACCACCAAGAGATTCCCAGGGTCTGGTCAGCTACCAGAGACCATGTTGGTGCCTTAGGGCTCTGCTGCCACTGGGGGAATACTGATGTGGGTGGCCTGTGCAACTACTGGGCTTTGGAGACATCTGGGACCTAGCTGCTGCCAATGGCCATGTCTAGGTCATGGTCCTGCTGTAGCCTGGGGTCTTTGAAGATGCCCATGGCCCATGTTAGCACAAGGGGTCTTTGGGACCATGCTGTGCTGAGTCATCTCTCAGCTTCACTGGCCCATCCTGTCTCTCACTGGATACTACAGCAAGAGAGCTCGCCCTGCATGCAGAAAAGATGGACCCACCCCTTAACAAAGGCATGAGCCTCACCTGTGTGCAACACAATAGAACTGGTCTTGCTATCCGGGGCTGGTGAGCCAGTACTGAGGGCTTAAGAAGGGCTGACCACGATGCCACCATTGCATGCTGCCCCCTGTAACAGTCAGGAGAGAGGGCCCTGCACCTTGCCGGGGCAAAACAGCAGGATCTCTATGACACAGGACCACAGTAGGGTGTGCAAGAGGAGCTCCAGCAGGAGCCAATTATCAGTGGTGTTGCAGCAATCAGAACCCTTGAGCCAATCATGGCAACGAACCCTTGCAAGTAAAGGTGAGTGGACCGGAGGGTGAACTGTGTGACACACTGCAGCCCCCATGACAAGCTTCTTCCTCTTTGCTGTTGCTTTTTGTTTGGTTCACTTGTTTTGTTCGGTGTTTGGTTCTTCTTTTAAATTTGGTTTTGATTTGGGGGTGGGGGAGGGGAAGGTCGAAAGGGCAGAAGGCAGAAGGGAGGAGGAGACAGGAGATGAGTGGGATCAGAATTCATGTTGTGGAATCCACGAAGAGTCAATAAAAGTTAAAAAGAGTGTTTCAGAGAAACGCTGCTGCTGCTGTTCGATTTGCATCCGGTCCCCTCAGTAGCCATGCACTGCCATCCCTGCTGGATCTATGTCCCTTATTTAGGGGTTATGCACTGGCCCTTTGTTGACTCATCTCTCCATTCTTAGTGTTATTATCCTTGCACAAGTGAATTCACTGCGGCTCTGCCAACTCCTCTGACAGATAACCCTAATGGGAGGCTACAAGGTCACCTTCTTATAGGTTTGCAGAAACCATTGATTCATGGGAGATAGCTTAGACTCGATGAAACTCGAACTGCTTCCTTCTCGAGTTCATGTTGTAATTCACGTTTGTTCATCTGTAAATAAGTAGAAACTCAAATGTAGCTGTACAGAAGTGAGTCTCTACAGGTGTTAACTCAGCAGAGACCCACCCTGAACGCCATCCCACTGCCTGTAGTCCTGAACAGAATAAACAGGAGGAAGAGAGATGAGGGGCAATCTTTATCTCTTTCTGCTCCTGACTGATTGGCTGCCTTGAGCTCTGATGCTATGTCTTTCCCACTATGATAATGGTGGAGCTCACAGGAATACAGATCATAGGAAACTATTATGAGAAATTACATGCTGAAACACTGGAAAAAAGAAGAAATGGGTAAATTCCCAAACACAATTGACTTGGCAAACTTCAAATAGGTCAAAGAATGAAGACAGCTCCCATGACGGAGTAATTGCCTCACATACAGAATGCCCTAGGTTTCATCCTCAGTGCAAGCACACAGAAACAACATGAATTAATTAGGTTAAGAATATTACATCTGAAAACAAATAAAAACAAAACAAAAGGCTAGGACCTGTGGTGGTACTTCAGCTGGTCTTGTGTGTGTGTGAGTGTGTGTGTGTGTGTGTGTGTGTGTGTGCACGAACACACACACACACACACACACACACACGTATTTGACATTGAGGTGTCAGTGGGTTACTGTAGGAGAGAAGCAGGATGTTCTAGTGGGATGTGGGAGCACCGGGAAAGACATGCTAGCCATGATAGAATGGATGCCGATCTGCACACTGCTGTATTCCCTGACGCCTTCCATTGCTGCTTATTCATCTTCACCATTGACAATGTCCTGGAGTTACACTCGATGAGGCCACTTGTCTTGTCATATCAAGCGATGACCTAGATGGCCTGAAATTGACACGGAAGGCTGCTGGTCACCTTTAACATATGCAGCCACTAAGGCATCCTGAGTGGTGACTCGTGGCATCTGTTGGCCATTGAGTGTCTCTGCTTAGAAGTTTAGGATGGTCTTGGACTGTCCAGCCAATCTCAAATGTGTGCAAAGCAAAAGAAGGGAGCAGATGAGGGCACTGAACAGATGTTCTGAGTGGAATCAAAGTGTGACATAACAGTTAACAAAAATAGTTACAATGTAACACCAGTCTGGCTCAGGAGTGCATAGTGTTCTGGTTAATATTAAAGAGTCAACTCCAGGGATAATGATTCATTTTATGACTGTCTTTAATTCTTTTTCTTCTTGAGACAGGCTCATCTTGTGTACCTTGGTTAGCATGGGATCCACCATGAAGACCAGGCTCACTTACAACCATCCTCCTGCCTCTGCCTCTGAAGTGTTAAAGCTGAGATCATAGGCTTGTGCTGTGTGTCATTAAAAAAAAAAAACACACATCTATTTTATTTATATGTTTGTACGTTTCTGTGCCCATGGAAACCAGAAGCAGGGTTTTGGATCCCCTTGCATGAGTCCAGGTATTTGAGGGCTGCCTGATGTGTGTGCAG